GTTGTACAGCCAAATCAATTATTAAGGATTTTCATCACTCTTGAAAGATATATACCCTTTAGTACTTACTCCTTTTATTAGCTTCTGAGTCCTTGTTTACAGTAGCTTTTGTTTGATTTGGGGAGCTTTTTCTACTGCCCTTCCTTTAATGTTCCAGTTTCTTTCCTTTCCTGGCTTATCCCTCACTTTCCCATTAAGCATCTAATCTATTAAGAACAGAAAGCTGGGGTTGCGGGAGGGGATCATAGAGTCTCTGAGACATAAGTCCTCCTTCCTAGTTACAGTTGTAATATTCTCAGCTTTAAACACTGGTTCTTACAAATGCACTGGGCACTGCACCTCTTCATTTAATGGACTAGCAGAGATAGTCACAGGAAATCCCTTATTTTACTAGCCAGTTGTTAACCTATTTGAATTACTAGCAGCTATATGTGCAGTTGCCCTTCCTGAAAACCAGTATTCTGTAGGCTAGCATGGCATCTGAAATCCTATGTTTCTAGAAGTTAATCACCTAAAATCCCCTTTAAGAGGATTCTATCCCCTTTAAAAAGGAATGTTGTATGCCAACAACATATTAGCACAATTGGTTTCACTGGTATATCAGCAGCAGCCTTCTTAGCACCTCTGCCCGGAGGTAGGCTTGTTGATGGGAGGAGTGGAAGGCCGTGTCTACCTTAAGATGGTGTCTAGGAAGGAACGGGGATAGCTGCCAATGAGAGAGTGAGGAAGATGAGGAAGGGAAGAAGAGATTTTTTTATTTTTTGGCCGTAAGATAGTCCCGATTGTTTGCATTTGCTCCCACAGATTGGATTTTATAAGGTATATGAACATTTATTTCTGTGGTTCCACACTGGTGTAAAGACTCAAGCACTGTGATACTAAGGAATAGCAGTTCCACAGTACAAGATAAAATTGACCAGTGTGATTGAAAAGTAGTGCATATGCCCTTCATGTTATTGTAGTTTCTATGATTAAATGTATTTGTCAGATGACATTTCCCATATGTTGTGCTTACTGTGTATATCAATGATTCAGTTTTAGGTAATAACCACATGAAAGAAGAAAATTATGCTGCTGCAGTGGATTGTTACACTCAGGCAATAGAACTGGATCCCAATAATGCAGTTTATTATTGCAACAGGTAAGGCTGCTCTGCGGAGGTGGGTTTCAGTTCTGATGCATTGGGATTGTAGCTCTGACCAGTAGCTATCAAATATATGCATTTAGAAAAATTTGAAAGTTCAGAAAGATTTAAAGGAGGAGAATAAAGTCACAAATTCCATTCAAAGGCCACATTCTTAATAATCTTTCAGACTATTTTGTTTCATATGATTGTATTCAATTTTAGACTCAACTTTGTTCACTGGGCATACTGCAAATGTGCCCTTTTTTTTTAAGATGGGGTCTCATGTAGTTCAGGGTAGAGCCTTGATCTTTCTACGTGGCAGAGGGTGACCTTGAACTTCTGATCATCCGATCTACAGTTCTAGAGTGCTGGAGTTATGGGCATGCACAACCAGGCTTGGTTTATGTGGTGCTGGAGATTGATCCCAGGGCAAGTACTCTACCATCTGAGCTACATCCCAGCCTAACATGTCCCATTTTTTTAAAAAAATTCTTCACAAACATTATTTAAATGGTTATTGCTACCTTTTTTGCTCTCTCTCTTTTTTTTGGGGGGGGATATTTCCAGATCTATAATTGTGGCTAGCAAATGAGTATTCAGTGCTACTTTTGAATGGATGATTAGATGTATCTTGATTTACTTAACTTCTTAACCTTCTGTGGACATTAAGGTGGTTTCTATTATTTTTCAGTATCTTCAAGGTGCAGTAAACATCTGTGTTTCTAACATTACATTTTTCTGGACTTTGGGTTTATTCCTAGAAACACATTTAGTTGGTTTGCCAGTTATAAACATTTGTAAAATTGAGGCTAACTGCAAAAGTGTTCCAACTTCTTTGAAAATTAGTTTCTTCCCCTAGGAGTATGTGAATCTATTTTTGACATGTTCTTTATGAGCATTAGGTACTCAAATATTAATTACCATTATTTTAATAGTATTTTCATATAAATTGTCCTAATTTATATTTAATTACTGGTGAGGCTGGACATTTTTTCAAATGTTGACTGTGTGGTTGGTATCTTCTAAAATTTTTTATTTTCGTGTGTGTGTGTGTGTGTGTGTGTGTGTG